GTTTCTCCTGTACATATCATTAGCATATCTTATTTCTTTTAATCTTTGTAATTTTTTTCCCTCTTGAAAGTATTCATTGGATTTTTTTTTTGAAATGAAAGTGTTAGATGTGCATTGAAGTAAGGGTGCCAAGGGGGCATCGTCATTGTACAAAAAGTTCACATATCGATTAGTATATTAACAATGAATCCTAGATCGTCATAGCAGTCAATATTATGTCCCAAGACAATGGAGACAAAATAGTGAAACCAATTATCTATGATGTTGCTAAAATCTACTTCTTTTCCTTCAAAAGTATGGTTGTTTCTCTCTTTCCAAATGACCCAAAAAGTAGGGAGAGAGATGAGTCTAATATTTTTCATTTTGCTATAAATGCCTTCCCATACAAGGAGTTCAGAGATGATTGATTCATTCTTGACCCACGACAGTCCCAGTAGACCGAGAACGGTAGACCACAGATTGTTTGAAATAGAATGTCCAAGGAGAATGTGGTTGCAAGTTTCAAGAATATTTTTGTATATAAAACATCTGTTGACAGTGGCGACACCTCTCTTCATCGGATTGTACACATGTCTTTATTTTTTCCATCTTGAAAATATTTCTCGGGTTGGGAATATGCCTTTAGATGTGGTTTATAGATTTTTTCTTTAGCATCAAATTCATAGATTTTCTCAAAAAGATTGGAGGTTTGAGTCGATTCAGATTAAGTTATACTCACTGTGTGACCTCATTTAGAAATTATTTTTATTGCGTTGTATCAAAAAAAAGGATTTGAATTTAACTTACAAGTCATCGTTTATTTACTAAATTTATTTTTCAAATCAAAATTTTGTAACTAAAGTTCTGACAAACTCACCTCTTTTAAAAGAAAATGATAAATGATGATTGGAATTTGATTTAGAGTATTTTGTTTAAATCAATTTTGTTTAGTGTGCATTCAAACATAAATTGGTAATTTTGGTAATTTTATTGTAGTTTTTAAATTATTTATTTTATTATAACTAAATCTCAAAACGTTTTTCACTAGGCTTATCAAGCAAGGATTCGAGGATTAAAAGTTTTAACTCCTCTTGGATATATTGAGTTGTAATGCACTTCTGCCCAAAATAATAATTTATATCAAGAAATTCAAGATGGTGGTGATAGTAAGGTAAACACAACAATTTGTAGTTTAATCATACATAATAAGACTGATATGAAAATTAGAACTATAACAAGTACTTGAATGGAAATTGAACCAAATGTATAGATAAAAAAACATATCCGCTTTTATTAATTCAAGCCTTCAGAATTTGTGCTTAAATTGCGCTCTTAGGTGTGTTGCACAAAGGTTTCAGGCAGGAGGGTCTTCTGTTAGCAGTTTTGAAGACTGGAGGAAAAAGGTGGATGGTGCTGATAGCTCATCACTCTGTGATGCTGCCTGGACTCTCTGTGCAACAAGTAGAGAATGATCAAATGGAATGGAAATGAGGAATTCTAGTACGAGCACTCTTTCCAGGAATATGTCAGCCGAATGGTTTGGTAGAGGCTCAGATGATTCTGTTGGATTATCTGGTACTAGTCTAGGTGCAAGGAGAAAGAGTTTCGCTGACATTGTTCCCGTAATCGATATGGGTCCTACATTTTATATAATCTTTATGGACTTGGCTTTATGTTGTTTAGTTTATTTCAATGGTAGTGGTTATAATTGAGTTGCCCTCATATGCTTTGGCAAATCAGCATCTTGCTCATCCCATTAGATATTATGTCTAAGATTTAGTTTCTAATACCTACACTAATATGAGCATGTAATCTTAGGGAGGAGTGGATCGAAATGCATCCTTACCAGGCCACCCATCACGCCCTTCAAGTTGTAACTCATTTCGTGATATGGTAGATACAACTGGTGTATCTGATTTCCATTCAGCTGGGTTATGTAATGGATTGCAGGCTGTAGAGACATTGCACTCTGGAGCAGCTGCCCCTGCGTGGATGGGAGTTCAGAGCCATGGCACAACTGATTCCCATTTGTTGGCATCTGCTGTAGGTTCATCATTATCAAGGAGTACGACCCCCAAACCAGCTAGTTGGGAAATCTCTTGGTCCTGGTCTTCCTCCTGTGGGGAGCAGAGTTGGAGCTACTGAAAAGAAGAATGCTATTGGCTCAAGTGTTCAAAATGGTCATTCTGCTGGTGCAACTGAAACTGAACTTACTGAAATTGCAGCCTCTTTGTCTGGCTTGGCCTCGTCAAAAACTGGACAAGTAAATGAAAATTGTCTTGTACAGTCAAAGCTTCAGATGAATCTCGACAGTCAACCTGATGTTATATCAAGCATAGCCAATGATAAAAAATGCAGTCTCCAGCAAATCGTAGAGGATTCTTCTTCTGAAAATCTCCCATATTCTGCCAAGTATGGTGGATTATTGAGGAAAAATGGAATGGTACCAAACCTCAATTCTTCTATAATGGGTTCCAATGGACAAATTAATATTCCTAAGAGAACTTCCTCCTTTGCGGATCTTTACTCAAGAGGAAATTCTTGGTGAATATTAACCTTTGGTGAAAGAGATGCTTGGTTATACAGATCGAAAATGAACCTTTGCAGGTTTGTGCCGGACTTTTCTTTATTATATTTAGTAAATTATTTGTATGATTTCATTAAATATTATCTAGATAAAAGCCTTTCACTTGTCTTCATGTATATTTTGTTCCTTGAGAATTCTGATCAGTGTTAAGATCAAAAGAAAAATTTATTATGATTAATATCACTCCAGTTTAGTGTAATTATTGTTGAATTTAATTTAAACCTATTGTACATTTGAAACACAAATGAATAATGAACAGTAACCTCTAAATGCAGGCAATGATGAAAGAAGCATTTGAAAATTATGTTGTGCAAAAGGTTCTTAAAACATGTGATGATCACAAGTCTGGAGTTGATTCTTTCTCGCATCAAGGTTCCCTTTAACTGCTTTGAAGAGATATACCTACGGTAAACATATCGTTTCCGAGTCAAAAAACTTGTCACAATTGGAGGTAAAGAACCATTGTTGAAACTTTTGATTCTTGTTTGGTTGCTAACATATGAGGACTCACAAACTTTTAACTCTTGTTCTGCAGAATGGATTCGCGTGATCCATGGAGGCTTGAACAAGATGATGACACTTTTGTTATTGCCTTTGCGGGTAGAAAGTAAAAATAAAGGACATAACTTTTGTACAGTTAACAAAGATGTCAAGTTATTCTAAGACATTATTTTCTGTAAATACTAGTAATTGTAAGTAAGCACACGGAACTAGCAAAGAGAGGAATAAAATGTTTTTTTTATGTTGATGTTTGTATATGCAGTAAATTAATATAATTTGATTGAGAATTTTATTGGAAGACTTATGTCAGACAGACGAAACTAGTGAGTGGAGTTATCTTAATATGTAATTTTAAACATTTGTCTTTTGAAAAAGTATGTATCTATATATGTACACATACTCAGAACTAGATGTACAATCTATAAGGTAGGATATTTCATACATATTATAAAATATGTATGAAATACGAATATTTGAAAAAGTTATTTATATGTAAATATTTTGTAAATTATTTATAAAATAAAGTGAAATTTGTATCATCACTTGTTTTATTTGTATTTGATGTCTTGATTTTTGACTTCAATATTATTATAATTATTGTTATTGCATGTTGATTTTTAATATTTAAATATGTGAATCTTGTAATCAAATAATTTATATTTTTTTGTAAAGAAAATTTTTAGATTTTGTGAATCTCTTTGTACAATTCATGTTAATCTTTATTGAATGATTTTTTTTTTTTTTGTTATAAAATAGTTAATTTTTATAAAAAATATATATTCATAATTTAAAAATAAAATAAAATATTTATTAAAAAAAATATTTATATTTTTAATTTTTATCATCTACATGCAAAAACATGTACACAGGGAGCTTAAATGGATGTGTTTATAAGTCAAATTTTATGTATATTTACGTGTATAAATTGTTGTATAAATTCAAACAGTGAAAAAATTAAATTTGTATGAATTGCAAACTGTAATCCACATCCCAACCAAAGTGAAATTACATTCTACTCTCTCCCCTCGCCAATCTCTCTGTCTCATCCATCCCAACCTAAATTTCATTTTTAGTTTCTCCGTTCTTCAAAATTAATCAAAATCAAGATTTCCTATTCCTCAAAATCCTGAGAATTTTTCTGGAAAAGTCATGAAAAATGGCTTAATTTGATTGTGGAATAGATAGGAAAATGGAGAGATATTCAGAGATGAGGGTAAAGAATCAATATATAATAATTTTCGATTCTGCCTCCATTAGTAACCCGTAATTAATTATGGATAGTTTCTAAATTGCACAAAATATCGTATTATTGTTAATTAGACTTTAATTTTATAACAGAAAATAAGGAGAGAGATTTTTATTCAAATTGACGTCCGAAAAGCCAAACTTATTGACTGCACTTACTAGCAGTTTTCGAGTTCCCTGAATTTTTCTTTGGGAATTAAAACGCGCTATAAGTACCTACAAATATCTCAAAAAACTCAAAATCAATGTTAGGACATCTTTTTGGCCAATTTTGGTATTTCGGCACAGCATCTCCGTCGTGCTCCGACCAAGGTGTCGTCGTCCACAGCGGTAGTTTGCCTCAGGTCGGCTGTTTTCAACCGTTTTCAGCCAAATTTGGTCAGAAAATACATTAAAGGGTCTCGATTGGCAAAAAATAAAATAAAAATTCGAAACTCACCAACGACGGGGTTCTCCAGTGCGGCGACTCCGCCGGCTCATCTTTGCGGTTGAGTGTTTTGCTTTGGTCAACGTATAAAAAGGAAAACGGTAATTACAATGGTGGAAGAATTACGCAGAACGAGAATCGAGAAGTGCCTCATCAGAGGCGGTTTTTGCAATTTCTTGTGGCGGCGCTGCTGGGCTTTGCTTGCAGTTTCAGGGACCGCCCATAAACGCAGTAAACCGTTTAGTTTTTCGGTGTTAAATCGAGTAAGAATCTCTCACCATATTCCCTATTATAGAATTGGAGTTTAAATAAATAATAATACGGTATTTTGTACAAATTAAAAAGATGTGCATAACTAATTATGGATTGCTAATGGAGACCGAACCGGATATTGTTCTCTGTTGATTTATTTTACAGTCTAAAAACATGATAGTATCTTATTTATCTATTTTATGGTTTAAATGCATGTATTACTATCTTACCTGACCATTGTTTGATTTGGGATTTGAGACATGATTGCATTACCGGATGCATGTTTATTTGTTTATGTGATTATGTTTGATTTAGTAATGGAGACTACAGGAAAACAGGAAAGGGGTGTGATCAAATAAACAGATGAAATGACAGCCTTATTAGATATCTTGGGAGATGGTGGACGGACTGGGTATATGGGGAACCCTACCGTGAACATTGTCTCATATTAGACGGGGTATGGAGACTTGGTAATTTGGCACTCGTACCGGACAGGATATAAGGACAGTCATGTAATTAAGATTGTTAAAAGAAATGGTTCACGTGTAGCGGGGACATCCCTATGAATCCCATGGATACTAGTAGGCTAGTGAAATGAGAAACGGTTATGATTTGTTTTATTGTTAATAGATATGAATCTATGATATATTCTATGTTGCTGATTATTCTTAAAATTATGATCTGTATGGTATTATTGTCTCTATATATTATTTTCATAAATTCCACTATGGTAAGTGAACGATAAATAATTTTATGATTGATAAATGAATTTGCTAAATTTAGTGCTCCATTAGTTGTTTTGATTTTATACCAACTTTTGTTTCTATGCGGGTGATATAGTGTAATATCTTTACTGAGCTAGTATAGCTCATCCTTTATTTAACCATTTCAGATCAAGAGGACCTGGTTCCAGAGCCCGATCTGCAAGAAGATTGCGAGTAGATGTTAGATACTTTTTATTTTTTATTACTTTTCTTATTTTTCATATTTCTTTTAGAAAATTCATTTCGTAATATTTGTTTAGTAATTTTAAGTTATTGTGTAAGGAATTGTAAACATTAACCTTTTATTTCACTTCTGCACTTAAATTATTATATATTTCTTTCTGAATTTTTGAGACTGTTACATTTTGGTTTTATAATCATCATTCTAGATCTCCCATACTCACAGTCAACATAGTAAAGAAATAATATAACAACAATATTAAAAAATAAAGATTAAAAGAGACTCTATCTTCTCTTTTGGAACAAGATAATAATGTGCATTTTACACGCACAAGAGACTACGAACATAAAAAAAGATATAAGTAATTAATAAATAAATAAATACGAATTTCAAGATTTTTTTTTTAATTTTACAATGCTATTCTCACATAACTTATATATGGTGATACATTCTCTTTATATTATATTTTTTAATACATGATCAGTTCTAATACTCTGAACATCCATGTCATACAAATGGTAAAATATCAATGGCATCGAACATCCAATTAAATATACCTATCAGTAAATTATACTTCCAACAAATAAATTCTTCAGATTATGAAAACGAGAGTGTTTACACCTTCTTGGATGCTTTAGATAGATACAATGCCCATTTCCAGAGTTGCAAATTTCCAGTTTTGGCCAAGAATCACCACTCCGCCGCTCGTAGTCCTGAGACACAGCCCAACTACTGCCAGCCGCTACCTTCACTCTCTTCTCCCTCTTTTCCTTTCTCATTTTCTGCGCTTCTTCGTGCCTCCCCATGCTGGCATATATCTCTTTGGTGAGAGAAATTCTACCATCTGATTCTTTGCTGAGATCTTTGTTGATATTGTTATAAAAGAGAAAAAAAAAAACAAAGAACTGCTACGTTTGTATATGAGTAATCATCTTAGAAAGCTTTCTTGATGAGAACATAGATCAAAGAAAAGCAAGATTCCATAAAGATTGAAGCAAGATTCAATAAAGATTTCTTATCCTTTCTCCTGCTCAACTGCAAATGTTTCTGTCCTTCATTCTTCTGCTTTGACAGCAACCAAACACCAGTTTTACACATTCTTGGTCTTCTCGCGTCGTTCTTTTTTGGCTGTGGGGTCAAGGAAGGGGAGAGAAAGAGAGTCCCACAAAAGAAGAGACCAAACGATAGAACTTTAGCAGAACTCTTCTTTCTCTTCTTACTTGTCTCCTAGCCTCTCATGGGTGCAGATCCAAAGAAAAAGCTACAAGGTATAATAGAAAGGATAGATGGTAATATTTGGCATGAGTGGCTATGTGGATAGAGGAGGAGAGAGAGGAAGTCCTACAAAGAGCCCAAACAAACGGGTTTGATGGTATATATAGAGAGGATAGATGGTAATATTTTGCATGAGTGGCTACGGGGATAGAGGAGGAGGAAGAGGGAATCCTACGAAGAAGAACCCAAACGAGGGACTTTAGCAAGATTCCCTTCTTTCTCCCTCTCTATCTCCTAGCCTCTCATGGGAGGAGATCAAAAGGAAAAAAAATTGCAGGGATGAAGTTTATGGTTTGTAGGTATATATAGAGAGAGAGAGGATAGATGGTAATTAGGAAACTTAACAAATTTTTATTTAAGATTAAAAATTAAAAAAAAAATTATTGGATGTCTTTCCTTTTTTCTTATTGTGTAAAGGGGGTTTCATTGTGATAGACGAGAAAATGGAGAGATTTTCAGAGAGGAAACAGGAGGGTTTGAGAGATGAAGTGGGGGAGGAATAGACAGACACAGTTTTTATGCCGCCGTCGTTCTGAAGAAAGCTGCAGTTTTTATTAATATTAATTGATACTTGAAAGAAAAATAATCAAGTCAACTCAGGAAAGTTATAATGCGTCCAATGAACGCATGCCACGTGTTTACGAGTCCTAGGCGGCTTCCACCTACGAGAAGACACGTATATCTGTTTGCACTCTGCCGCAAGATTTGGTCCACGTCGTCTGACATTTTGCCACGAGTCACGTGGCTGGTCTGAGGCAAGTTCTGTTCGTCCACAGCCAACAAAGGCAAGTTCTGGTTGTGCAACCAGCTGAGCCAAGTATAATGTGTGGAGTCATCGTCCTCTCAGGACCTTCTTTTTCACACAGCTGATTGATAGACCGTTGTCCCATGACCAGCTGCTCCAACTCCATGGTTTGGTGGTGTTGCAACAAGTGATGGTCGTGCAACCAGGCCTTGGCATAGACTGATCGCATGACAATCAGGCCACGATACCTGATAATTTGGGCCAAGGCCAGATCCGGCACAGTGACCAATCAGATTTGCAGGCTTGCGTTTCCTATTTCTATGGTTTTCTTAATCAATTTTCTGAATGATTTCGATGTGCATATAGCTAAGAAAACTGTTTGGTTTGTTAGTGATTTCGATGTGCATATATGTCTCTAAGCTCTGCTGCAAACATGGCCTGCCGTCCATGTATGTGAATGTGTGTAGGCATGCTTAACATAATTGGTAATCCCTCCGTGGTGTTTACCCATTTCCTGCCGTGTATCATTTGCTAGAACATGGTAATCCCCACTGGGGTTCTACAATCATTAGCAAGCTTGCTTCTAATGTTGTTGAAAAATTACGATAAAAAGACTCAATATATATGATAGAGTTGAACACAAATGAGTAACGAACAATAACTTCTAAATGAAGGTAATAATAAAAAATGTATTTAAAAATTATGTTGTGGAAAAGGTTCTGAAAACATGTGATGATCATAAGTCTAGAGTTGATTCTTTCTCACATCAATGTTCACTTTACTGCTTTAAAGAGATATACCTATGGTAAACATATTGTTCCCGGAGTCAAAAAGCTTATCACAACTAGAGGTAAAAAACCATTGTTGAAACTTTTGATTCTTTTTTTGTTGCTAACATGAGAACTCACAAGCTTCTAACTCTTGTTCTGCAAAACGACGCATTACATTGTCATCCTCTTAGCAATCTGCTTGATCCATGGAGTCTTGAACAAGAAGGTGGCACCTTTTTTTAGGAGTCTTGAACAAGAAGGTGGCATCTTTTTTTATTACATTTGCCGTTAAACTGCAAAAATAAAAGATATAGCTTTTGCACAGCTAATATGGATATTAAGTCATCATAAAATATTATTTTTTACAAATACTAATAATTGTAAATAAGCACATAAAAGTAGCAAGCAGAGGAATAAGATGTTTTTTTTTTATTGATGTTTTTATATGCAGCAAATTACTGTAATTTGATCGAAAATTTTATCAGGAGATTATAACAGGCAGACGAGATCCTAGAACTGAATTATCATAAAATATAATTTTAAACATTTGTTCTCTGAAAAAGTTTGTGTCTATATATACACACATATACAAACTAAACCTACAATTTATAAAGCAAAATATAGAAACATGCTAGTAATGAAATATTGTATAAGTATATATGAAATATGAATCTTCAATGTGGAAAAAAGTTATGTATATGTACATATTTTGCAAATTATCTATAATATAAAATAAAGTGAAATTTATATTATAACTTGTTTTGTTTGTATTTAATAGTTTGATTTCTGATTTTTAATATTATTATTATTATGGCATATTTATTTTAAATATTTAAATATGTAAACATTGTAATAATGTAATTTATACTTTTGTTTTTTAAAAAAATTAGTTTTGGTGAATCTCTTTGTATAGCTCACGTTAGGCTTTATTGAATGACTTTTCTTTTCCCATGTTTTGAACTTATTAGTTTTTAATAGTTAACTTTTATTTATAAATATATATATATATATATCCATAATTTAACATGAAATAAAATATTTATTGAAAAAATATTTATATTTTTTTATTTTTATCATCTATATTCAAAAACATATATATAGGGAGTTTAAATGGATGTTGAATTATATGCATATTTACATGTATAAATCGTTGTATATGTGGGCATTGCATGTAGAAAATTCAGATAATGGAAAAGTTGAATTTGTATAAATTGTAAATTGTAAATTGTAAATCGAGAAGAAACTTGAGAGGAAAATTTCTCAACTTTTTCGCATCCAATAATTGGAGAAAAAGGTCGCCGATTAAAATTGTTCTTAACTAAGAAAAAAATATTCTCAACCGTTGGTTTTCTTATAATAGTAATCTTTCTTGAACATGAAAAATTCTATGAGCATATAATTCTCTACATGATTCTTCTTCCATCATTATACATTAAAAAAATAAAGTTTAAAGTATTATAAAATAAGTGAATTTTAAAAAAGATTATATTTCTTTAGCATAATAATTTTAAAGGTTATCTTTAAAAGAAATGTAAGTTGCATTTAATCGACTTATCTGCAAATAATTGTTTGAACATATTAGACAACATATAGATAATTAAATAAAATGAATTTTTTTTCATAAACAAAGTGAATCATTGTAATCTTTCTTTCTCTTCTTTTGTGAATATCAAGATTACTCTGTTTTAAATTAATTTACGATCGTAATTTGAGTAGATTTATTAATATAGATGTAACTAGTTTTCTTAAAACCCAACGAGAAAAATATAAAACTATTATATAAATCCGCTATCATCACATAACAAATCTTAATTATAAATCCGCTATCATCGATCCTTTTCTTTCATTTGCATTAACAATAACCAAGCATCAACCTTACACATTCTTGATCTTATCATCATTATTCTTGATGTTCCATGCTCACTAAAGAAACAATAAAAGAGCTTGAGAAAGACTTATTATCTTCTCTTTTGAAGAAAAACAATTATGAATATATTGCATGAGAAGTTACATATGCCAATCCAATGCTTCGTCTAACTATCCAGCCTGACTGCATCAGGCTGGACTTTCACTAACTCTGTCTCCCGAAAAATATCTAGTTTATGACTTTAAATTATTTCTTTACCAATAATTCTATAGTTTCAACTAGTTGTTCTCACACAATACGAATAGATAATTTGTATAATTTTAAGTAATTTACAACATAAACAATTTAAAAAATAATTTTATTGTATGACTTATAAGCTAAAAGAATAAATAATTTTTATAGATTATGTGTAAAATTTATGTAAATAAAATATATTGATTTATGTTATATAATAATTTTATATTTTAATTTTACAAATGAAATTAATTATGATTTAAATATCATTATTTTATTAAATAATTGATAGTCCATAAAGTAAATATTAGAGTAAATTAATAAACAAGTCTCCTAACAACCCAACTACTGCCAGCCGCTACCTTCACTCCCTTCTCCCTCTTTTCCTTTCTCATTTTCTGCGCTTCTTCGTGCCTCCCCATGCTGGCATATATTTCTTCGGTGAGAGAAATTCTACCATCTGATTCTTTGCTGAGATCTTTTTGATATTGTTATAAAAGAGAAAAAAAAAACAAAGAACTGCTACGTTTGTATATGAGTAATCATCTTAGAAGGCTTTCTTGATGAGAACATAGATCAAAGAAAAGCAAGGCAGAGAAAGATTGAAGCAAGATTCCATAAAGATTTCTTATCCTTTCTCCTACTCAACTGCAAATGTATCCGTCCTTTATTCTTCTGCTTTGACAGCAACCAAAAACCAGTGTTATACATTCTTGGTCTTATCACGTCGTTCCTTTTTGGAGAAGCATGAGAGCGATGATGTGAATCTATATTTTGCATGAGTGGCTATGGGGACAAGGGGGGAGAGAAAAAGAGTCCTACAAAAGAAGAGACCGAACGATGGATCTTTAGCAGAGCTCCCCTTTCCCTCCTCCCCTGTCTCCTAGCCTCTCACGGGAGCAGATCCAAAGAAAAAACTACAAGGTATAATAGAGAGGATAGAAGGTAATATCTGGCATGAGTGGCTATGGGGATAGGGGAGGAGGAGGAGGTGGAGGGAGTAGAAGAACCTAAATGAGGGACTTGAGCAAGACCACCTCTTCCACCTCCGCTATCTCCTAACCTCTCATGGGAGGAGATCAAAAGAAAAAATTGCAGAGATGAATTTTAAGTTAAGGGTTTGTAGGTATATATATAATTTTCTTTTTTATTAATTGATTAACAAGTAAGTAATTTAAAATATTTGTTTTTATTTAAGATTAAAATAGAAAAAGAAAATTACCCACAAACCCAGGCCACCTCACGGGAGGATCAGTTGCTTCTTTAGTCAAGTACCTGAATCTATCAGGCATTGTACTCTCTCCTCTCGCCAATCTCTCTGTCTCGTCAATCTCATCTCCAGTTCCATTGGTGGTTTCTGCTTTCTTCGAATTCAAACACAACCGAGATTTCCTACCCCTCAAAATCCTCGGAATTTTCTCGGACAGGCCGAGAAAGTTGCCGTTGAGGTTCTCGTTTAAGAATTCGACTGAAAAAGGGGGTTTCATCGTGATTGGGGGATGACAGACCAGAAAATGGGAAGATTTTCAGAGAGGAAACAGAGGGTTTGAGAGAGGAACTGGGGGAGGAAACACAGCAAGTGCCGCCGTCGTTCTCGCGACGAACGCTCTTGCCCTGAAGAAAGCTGCAGTTTTTGGCCTAATTAATATTTATATAATTAAATTAATTAATTAATATTAATCTATACTTAAAAGAAAATTAATCAAGTCAATTCAGGAAAGTTATAATGCGTCCAATGAACGCATGCCACGTGTTTCGAGTTCAAGTCGGCTTCCGCCAACGAGAAGACGCGTAAATAATTATGGAAACAAAACTGAAGCAAATACGCCTGAACAGACGGTAACAAAGGGGACAAAAATCAGTCTTTTAAAACTTCAGCATTTCTGTCGACATCCACAATATATAATAGCTCGTCTTCTTCGTATTTTCTAATTCTTTATTTCACTGTGATAATATCATTATCTACTGCGTATAGGGTATGATCAGCAGTTGATGCTCACAAAAATGAAAAAGAGACAGCCTTTCATAAAGACCTGTTGCATTCTCTGGTTATAACAGATGACGCTTCCACAATTGATGGTGAAGTTGGGAAGAAATTGAACCTCATGGTTCCTGTTCCTGTTCCTCAGGTTGGTGTTCTTCTCTTTCGCTGTTGTAGGATTGCTGTAGTAGGCAAAACCAGATGAGTGTTGCGATTCTGGCTTTCTTCCGTGGTTTGAGCGTCATTGAGCGTGTTTAATGGTTGATAGATTAATGTTGACTGAAGTTTTCAAGTTTTCTTTTACAATATCCTTGCATTGATTTGTATATCAAATATGCTGATCTATATACGATCCATCCATTATCCGCAGTATGCATTATGTACAAACCAAGGAGCTGCTCCTTGGATGTATGTAAACAAAGCTGGCTAACCACGCTCCAGATTAGATTCATAGCCACATCGCCCGTATGCCTCACCTAAGCCACTTCTTAAATGTGGGTGCTGCTCAATAGCGTTCTTAAAAGCATACCCATGAATTTCTTTGATCAAACTCAGTGCCGCTATGTTCTCACAAGCCAACAGCAAAGCAAGAAGCGTTATCAAATTAGGTCTCAAACCCCACTTTTCCAATTCTCCTGTAGATGAGAAAACTTTGCAAATAGTTCAAGAAAAAGTTAACAAATGAGGTGGTAGAAAGTGAAAACTTCAACATCTCTGCAAAATGAAGAATGATGGAAAGAGCTGGAATCATTTGAATGTAAAGAAGATGTTAAATTTAATGATTTTTTCTGTTGAGTTTAAATTCAAAAAAAGGAAATCCACCGTAAAGTTGTTTTACGGAAGGACACGTAAAATTCTATGGGATGTGTATGCATGATTTTCGGTCGATTTGATTTGATCGGTTGGTTGATGTAATCTGTTTAAATTTGTATTTTTATATATATATGCTGAAATAAAAAGAAGAGATTACTTCTTCTCTCCAAAAGAAAGGGCACGCCTCTTCAAAACAGCAAAACAGAGGCAGTTGCATAAGCTTGCTCTGTTTTGCTGCCCTCTCTCTCCTCAACTTTCTCTCTCTAAGTTTCCTTATTCACAGAGCCTCCTTTGAAGCTTATTCGCTTTCGATCAACAAGTGGTATCAGAGCTAGGTTATCTTAAGGGACCGGTAAACCAATATACCCTCAAAAAATCCAATGACATCCACTAGAACAACACCCCCTCCATACTTCAATGGAGAAAACTACCATGTATGGGCAATCAAAATGAGAGCCCATCTGAAAGCCTTAAGTCTGTGGGATGTTATTCTGGATGACAGTGATCCTCCTCCACCAGGGGACACTGCCACTATAAACCAAATCAGAAGGCACGAGGAAGATAAAGCCAAGAAACCAAAGGCAATTGCTTGCCTTTTCTCGGCCGTTTCGGATAGGGTATTTTCAAGGATTATGAACTTCGAATCACCAAAGGCTGCCTGGGAGAAACTTAAGGAAGAGTTCGATAGGGGAGTCAGAAGTAGGAAGGTAAAAATCTTGAGATTGAAGAGTGAGTTTGCATTACTCAGAATGCAGGAAAATGAATCAGTGAAGGAATATGCATCCAAACTCTCGGACGTGGTAAACAAAATGAGACTGCTTGGGGAGGATTTTCTGGAATCAAGGGTAGTAGAGCAAATTCTTATCAGCTTGCCCCCCAAATTCGCGTCTAAAATCTCAGCTTTGGAGGAGGTTGCAGACATTGAGACTATCTCCTCGACTGAGCTGATAAACAAGCTTCAATCCAGTGAGCAACGGGTAAATATACATGTTCGACAACATACAGAGGGAGCCTTAATTTCAACTCAGAACAAAGGCAGCTCTTCAACACAGATTCAAGGAAGAAGGAGTGAATGGAATCAAACTGGAAACCAAAATCCCAGTAAACAAAAGAAATATTCTGAGTGCAGTATCTGTTCCTTAACAAATCACTCAGAAAATGAGTGCTGGTACAAGGGAAAGAAAACCGTTCAGTGCAATTTTTACAAAAGGCTTGGTCACAAGGAAAAATTCTGTAGATAGAAACAGAAGCAGGAAGGATCACGACCAAAGTAGGAACAACTGTAAGCCAATATCACCAAGGTGTCCTGTGAGCCAAGTGACACAATTCTCGTTGCGCTAAGTAAGCCGCAAGTGGAGGATGATACTCTCTGGGTGGTGGACAGTGGATGCACCTCCCACATGTGCAAGGATGAGGACTTATTCGTATCACTTGACAGAACAATCACAGGCCAGGTCCGACTTGGAAATGGTATGCTAGAAACCATCAAGGGCAAAGGCAACATAGCCATTGAAACCAAGGAATGTAGGAAACTTATCACTGATGTAAATTTTATTCCTACCCTCTCACAGAATCTTCTCAGTGTGAATCAGATGACTGATCGAGGCTACTCGGTGGGATTCAATGATAACTGCTACAGGATATATGATCCTGAGGATCGCTTGATTGCTTTCATCCAAAAGAAGAATCAAGTCTACTCCTTGAAACTCAGAGAAGTAGTTGAGAGGGTCAGTGTTGCCTCTGTAACTGAAGGTGAGATTTGGCACAGGTGCCTTGGGCATTTTCATGCGGCTGGGCTACAACAATTGCAGAAGGGAAGTCTAACCAAGGACTTTCCAAATATTGTAGTCACTGAGACAGTATGTGGTGCATGTCAGATGGGGAAATTGGCAAGGAATTCATTTCCTTCGCAAGCAGATTAGAGAGCAAAAGAGAAGCTGGCACTTATCCATTATGACATTTGTGGTCCAATGACAGAAAACTCCATGAGTGGTTGCAGGTATTTTGGCTTGTTTATAGATGATTTTTCCAGGATGATTTGGGTTTGTTTCCTGCAGAATAAAGCTCAAATTTTAGGTGAATTTAAGAAGTTCAAGGCTATTGTAGAGAATGAAAGTGGCAGTGTATTGAGGTGCCTAAGGACAGATAATGGGCTTGAATTCAATTTCAGCCAATTCAATGATTTCTGTTCTGAGAATGGGATCAAAAGACAGCTCACGGCACCATATTCTCCTCAACAAAATGGTGTCTCGGAGAGGAAGAACAGAACCATTGTGGAAATGGCAAGAAGCATGCTTGCTGACAAGCACCTGCCTAAAGCCTTGTGGGCTGAGGGAGTGAACACTGCTGTGTTCCTGCTCAACATGCTGCCTACAAAGGCTGTAAAGCAGATGACACCGGCGGAGGCTTGGAGTGGCATCAAACCATCAACTAAGTATCTAAAGGTGTTTGGATCCGTGTGCTACTGCCATGTCTCGGATGACAGGAGATCCAAGCTAGAAATGAAGACTGAATTGGGAGTATTTTTAGGATACAGTACTGAAGCAAAAGCATATAGAATTCTAAACCTGAAAACCAACAAGCTTATGATTCGAAGAAATGTAACGGTGGATGAAAACAGCTACTGGAATTGGGAAAAGCAGAAAGTCGAACGAGACTGTGTCACAGTTGAAGAAGGAAAGAAATCAATGACAGTCAAACCCAACTCAGAGTGATGAAGAAGACGAATAAGATGAAGAAGGTGAAGCAGAAGAGAGAATAAAAATAAAAAGTCTAATTGACATCAATGAGAGGTGCAGCTTTGCCTCAAAAGAACCTTCCTCTGTTGAGGAAGCACTTCAGCAGCAAGAGTGGAGACTTGCCATGGAAGAGGAAATCAGGATGATCGACAAAAATAATACTTGGTCTCTGGTAAAATCAAGTACAAACAAAAAACCTATTGGAGTAAAGTAGGTGTTCAAAGTGAAACTCAATCCGGACGGGACAACAAACAAGCACAAGCACGGCTTGTGGCAAAAGGGTACTCCCAGCTTTCAGGAATCGACTACACAAAGACCTTTGCTCCTGTGGCCAGATATGAAACAATTAGACTCATTCTAGTCATGGCAGCTCAGTTTAGTTGGAGTGTGATGCATTTGGATGTAAAATCGGCCTTCTTGAATGGCAAGCTGAATGAAGAAATTTATGTTGAGCAGCCACTGGGGTTCATTCAACCTGGAAAGGAGAGACACGTCTATCTTCTTCACAAGGCCCTATACGGCCTCAAACAGGCTCCACAAGTCTGGTATGATAAGTTAAATACATACTTACTCCACTGTGAGTTTGAGAGGAGCATGACAGAAAATACACTGTATGTGAATAGAGATGAAGACAGTCTTATCACTGCAGTATATATTGATGATATACTGGTGACAGGCAGCAACAAAAGGAAAATGATAGAGTTCAAGCTAAAATTGGAAAAGGAATTTGAGTATGTAGCCGCAGCTACAGCAACTAACCAAGCAATTTGGTTGAAGAAGGTGTTCAATGATGTAAAGCTGAACAAACAAACACCTACAGTGTTATATGTAGACAACAAGTCTGCAATTGCCATTGCGAAAAATCCTGTAATGCACGGGAGAACTAAACACATCAACGTTAAGTATCATGCTATACGTGAGGCTGAGAGGAATCAAGAAATAAAGCTGATACATTGCTCCACTGATGATCAGCTTGCAGACATTCTAACCAAGGTCGTGTCTAAAGCTAAATTTGAGGAATTGTGGAAAAATGTGGGGATTGGTGAAAAAAGTCATTAGGGGGGGAGTGTTAAA